ACAGTTTGGGATTTCCAAGAACCTGTGGTCGGACCAGAGTGAAGCCAAGGCTTCACTTCAGAATGAAGTCATCACAGTGAAGCCAAGGCTGCCCCAGCTCAGCTTACCTGGGATCCCACTGCACTTTTCCCCTCCTTGGTGCTGCTCCCTGGAAGCTGTTGGGTTCAAAGAGACATGCAAGATCTGCCAAGCCTGTTGCTCTCTGCAGGATTAATGCCCAGCCCATACCAGCACAAACGTAGAAACAAGGCAATTCATTAATTAATGAGTTGTTACTCTGAGTATGCAAGATGCAGCAGATTCACGCAACGACGCTGATGTAAAGCAGCTTGCAGGCAGCGTTCACAGGACAGAGGGACTGGTATTTGCCTCGGCGCTTATTTTAAATACATGACTCATTCCACTGAGGCCCAACAGCAATATGTATACGCTTAAAGTGAAATTATTAATTCTTTTGGTAATACATACCAAATCAGGACCTACATACAGTTTTGGAGCAAAAATTTCCATTTTTCTAGCTATCCACTGCAGGCCTCTCATTACATTCCTTTTTAGCTGAAGGTACATAGTCTCATTTGTGCTGTGAATATTTATAACTGCAAATTTAAATGATCTCTTTTTCAGTAAAGAAGCTTAATAGTCTAAGGCTGGTTAAATCATTTGCTGGAAAATATTCACAACGTGAACACAAAATAAGAGCAAAAACTATCAAAACAAACTCACAGAGACATTCAAAAGAGCGCATACAGCATGCTTATCAGCTCATCTGATCAGCTATTGTCTTACTGGTGTACTGACTAAAGCAGAACTCAGAAGGCATAAAAATTAGCTGTTTCCACCATCTTGAGGAGACGACATTAGTATGCTGACACTAAACTCGTGGCTTCTGTAACTAATATGCCCTGTTGGTTACAAATTGCGTTTGAAATATTCTGAAATGTTAGAGCTGGCTGAATTATCCAAACCAGAATTGTTAATATTTTTACAAATAGAAGCTGTCAGGTTTGTTCAAGGCAATTCACAAATTCATACCACTCTTTATCTGACAGAATTCAGATCAGTGCCAAATAATGGGCATAATATCTCACAAGTCCCAGAATTTTCAATTAATTTAGGATAAAAAATAATTCAGTTGAAAAGTCATACTGCTAATTACTCTGATTTAAAGAGCATTTCAGTTACCTAACTGAAGAACAGATATAGTGCACTCAATTTAGGTGGACAGTCACAGTTCAGAAATAATGAATACTTAATGATTAATACACAACACAGAAACAGTCTTAATGTGAAAATTATTCCTTTGAATAATCTAGTGGATAGCTGGCAACAATAGACATTTGCAATCAATTAAAGGAGCTGGCTGCAGATTCAGACTGAAATAATGCTCCCATGAAAAGTGCAGTTTTTCATGTTTTACCCAAAATGTTTTTTGTCCCCTTGGAAGGTCCAGATCCAGGTGTTTGAATTTACTTTTTTTAAAATGAAAGGAGGCAATTTATCTTGGATCAGCTCAATAAACTTTTAGTGGTATTTCCACATCAAGTTAGTGTCCTGGTGTTGCTGAAGTTGTACCGGTGGGTGCCAGGCTGGAGGGTGCATCCAGGGGCTGGTGAAGAGATGATGGGAGCTGGAGAGAGACAGGCTGTTGGGGGGGGGGCCTGAGAAAGTTTCTGGCAAGAGGTTTCCTGGAAAAATGGGGCAGCCAGAAATAGAACAAATTAACAAAAGTTAATCACAGTATCATATAATGGTTTGGGTTGGAAGGGACCTTAAAGATGAAATATAAAGAAAAAATAACTAGTCACCATTAGTAACTAAGCATTCATACCTAAAGCACAAAATTAAGGCAAAGAAATTAGTCAAAATTGTTCTGAAAATAGCTTAGTTCAGTGGGAAGTGACCTTCAGATTGGTCAAAATATATTACAGAACCATGCTACATCTCCAACACTTCCCAGTGAACAGAGAACGGAGGAAAATCTTACCGTAAAAATGTTCCATTCCAACTATTGCAAATTAATAACAATATAAACCCTACCTATTCTGAAAGTACATTTTAAATTAGATCGTACAAAATTTCCATTCAAAACAGAATATAAGAAAACAAAACAAAAAGCAAGACACATTTTTTTCAGGGAAAGCAAACTAGGAACATCCCAGCTGCTCAGTCCTGTGAGCAAGACTTAGAAATCCTGCTCTTTTCAGCAGTAAGTCAGATAACTGCGTATTGTTGTCATCTGTGTATATTTTCCCTTCCTTCAAGATTTGTATAAATTATTTGCCATAGCAACTCCCAGTGATAGTAAGTTGTACAGTTTAATTACATATTGCACAAAATTATTCCCATTTGTCACTTTTCATGTTCCCACATAAGAAATTTTGTTCAAACAAGTCATGTGTCCCAGAAAAGGGGCTGTTTTTATACTTTCATCTTAATTACCTACCTAGTCATTGTTTAAACCTTACTGCAGGTATGCTGGCATGCCTAGGTAGCGGTGCCAGGGCTGCCTGAAGCCGCACACTTTGTAGGGTCCCCGTGATCCCTGTCCCCATGCAGCCAGCCCAGCTGGAGTAAGTGGTTGGCACACTAGGACTTGCAAAGGAAGGGGTAAGCCTCATAAACAGTTGGAGGTGTTGCAACATTTAGCCTCAGTGCATGCAAGGATCTTCTCCAGTGTGAGCATGGCAAAGAATGGGATGGCAAAATCTGGAAGCAAAATCACTGGCTGATATCGCAAGTAGAAAATTAAAGAGGAATGAAATACACTGATTGAATGCAGACTATTTTCATAACCTTCCCCTCTGTGCAATTTCCTGAAATGCTATGGAAAACACCTACCACAGAGATGAACAGTACGAAACCTGCTTTTTATTCAATTCCCCTCCACACCAGTGTCTTTTTCATGGTTTTCATTCTGCAGTCCAGATGTTTCATGTCGCACCACCCTGAGTCCCAGCGAGGAGCAGAGCTATGTCCTCGGCTGGAGCCCATTGCCATGGCATTGCCAGGCTGCATTGGCAGGTGAGTCACTGGTATTTAACTCAGTGGAAGTCAAGTACTAAAACCAGGGATCACCAGAAAATAGCTTGTCATGAAGAACACAAGAGCAAGTTGTAGCTGAGGTCTTTACACAGTAGATGCAGATATTTGCTCAGAGGAAGCAGTTTTGTGGGTTTTGTTGCGACATAAGAATAAATGACTGTAAGTGTGAGCACACTAATGCCTGCCACTCTATTGCTGTTCCTTGGTGTCCATCTAATCCACTTAAGCAGAAAAACACAGGGAGCAAGAGTTTGCCTACCCACACAGTGGTGGTCACCTATCTAGACACAGGCTGGAAATGCCAGGAAGGGAGACCCTTCCCCAGAGGTAACCATGAGAGCAGAGAGAGCTGCTGAATAAAAGGTAGGAGACAGTTAGTTGAATCCAGGACTAATCTTGAGATGCTCTACCTAAGAGCTCTCCAGGTTCCTGATTCACCACCATGCTTAAACTCTAAAAACACTGGTTGCTTTGAGAGTTCAAGTAAGGAAATTTTAATAAAAGCTTGACTTGATGTTATTCCACTACAAGCTCTGTGCTGAATTAAACATAAGGCTGAGAAGATATGTTGACAGTATATCAGCATGAGGATCTGCTGGCCACTGCTGAATACAGGTAAATAGTTTTATGTCATTTTCTTTAAGGCTCATTTCCAGCTTTCAATCAGTCCCATGTATAACACAGCTGAAGTGCTGAGCAACACATCTTATCATGGCCAGTTGTCTGAAATGTGGAGATGTGGCTAATTTTGAGAAATGAATCACTTGTCTTTTCCATTTGCATTATTATGGTGTGAGCCTATGCTGAAATAAAAATGCATTCAGCTGGAGTATACTGTGCCTAATACATCACAGAAAATAGCTGAGTGATAAAAAAAAAAAAGCTAAATAATCTGTGCAGTCCATTACAGATGTGCAGCTAAGCTGTAGCTTTCTCAGTGTTCATCTCTAAGACTGCAACTTTATTTCTTGCTAAAAATAACATGTTTTCCAGATGAAGCAAATACCACAGGGCAGATGTACTTGGAAGAGAGTGTGTGAAGGGTGTCATCTGGAAATCTACCATTTTAGGGTGGGCACAATGCATGGGAGAGCAAGAGTCCTGCAGACCTGAGTGCCCATAAACCACAGCTGGGTAAAAAAGAGCACATGCAATGGACATGTCCACAAGAGAAGTGCACAGAGCAGCTCTGAGAACACAGTGGGCAGCTGCGCAGAGCTGCTCTTACCCATGTACACGACACATAAAATTCAACTTGCACAAGGCCAAACCATGGGAAGGCCCTGTTACTAATGGGGCAGCATTGGAAGAATGGCAGAACAATGACACAGTGTGTGATGGGGCTTATCAGCCTGTGGAAAGCATTATATTTCATGTTTGTCTGTGGCAGCATGAGATTGCATTTGGTTCAGTCAGTCTCATCGCTACTCTGGTCCAGTTAATTTAAGAAATGTATTGATTTGCACAGTTGATATATCTCTCTTGGTACAACAGCATGTACTGTTGTAATCCAGCATGTAGAGAGCAGGATTTCATTGCAGGGGGACAGGCACCAGGCAAGCAGGATGATATCCATTCTTGCCAAATGGCAGCAGGAAGTTTATTTGGATTTTATCCAAGTGTTAAGTTCTAGATATGAGAAGCTACAGTTCAACTTAAGGCTACATATACCTACCTCACCTGGCACACGGGATGGCCCCAGGATGATGGGGACTAGTGGGGCTAGTGGCACCATTTGCTGCAGTGAGAGTATCCGATATGCAGCACACATCATCCCAAAAAAGAGTAGCAGCAATGTTCAACATTTACTGCTGCTGTAGGAGCAACCAGTCTCTGCATTGAAGAAGGGGTCATATTGGGCTCAAAGCAGCTTCCTATCCCTGACCTGTGCCTGGGAAGAAGGAGAATGCAGCACATCACGATGCCAGCATTTCATGCCTGGGAGTTGTGGGTATCCAGTGAAATGTACTGGAAGAGGCAGAGCTTCCCCTGCTGAAGTTCTCACCCAAAGTTGCCCACCAGATGATATGAAACATGAATGGTTGTTCACTCTGCACAAAAAGAGAAACAAAAGCATATTCTGAAGGGTCTGTTAATTAATACTCACAGCACAGGCTGGAGGCAGTGCAGTGTATTAACTTGTTAAGGTGAAAGCAGGGAAAGAAAGGTGGTGACAGCTATTACTGAATGAGGAAAAAAAAACCAAACAAAAAAAAAAAGCACACAACATGAAAGGCTTATTAACATTTTCCAGTGGACTTAAAAGGTTCTCTCCTTTTCTCCTTTCAAGGATAAGAACAAAATTGATTTGAGGGGACAGCTTTATTAAATTTAAAGTTAACTTTAAAAAATTTTACACAGTAGCATTTTCTGGAGATAAATATCAGCCTGACACTTCCTTTTGCTTGCAATTTCTGCAGTGGCTTATCTCTCTGGGCAGGATTCCCTAACTATTTTGCACCATTCAGTAAAATGCCTGTGTCATGGTACTTACTGTGGTGTTGCACTAAGGAGCATCTTTTCAGATCCTTGAGTGACTGAGGAACCAGAGCCTCCTCGTATCAGCACACTGCACCACAGGGAGAGAGACAGCAGCTCGTTGGCCATCTGGATCTGGGATTTTCCATGGCCAAAACCATAAGAAGTTGGCAGTGGGAAAGAAAGCCATGGGGATCATTTTCATCAGATGTTAAAGCTCATCAGACAAATGTCTTCTTCACTGCAGCCTCAACTAAGCAGAGCTTTTCAGTGGTGAGAACCACAGCAGGCTTAGCTGGACCCAAAATCATTCGGTTGTGTCTTCTCAGGAGGCTTTGTCACCCCACTCCTCTGCTGGGACCACAGGAGCTTCAGTATTGCATAAGCAACCTCTTCCACCTACAAAAGCAGCCCCTGCTTGCAACAGAGCAGAAGCTGGGAGGTATCAAGCCTGAGAATGTGATGGGATGGCAGGTTTCTGAAAAACTGAGAGTTTTGTTTGTCTTTTAAAAGGAATGTCAGGTGTGCAACTCAGATCTGCATGGCCCCTTTAAATGCCACCCAAATCAATATTTTCCATTGACCTCTATGTCTTGATAGTTTACTGTCTGTCTTTAATAGACTGATTTATCTATTTTCAGAGCTGATAAATTGCAGCATATTAAGATAATGGTGTAACATTTGTTGCTATTAAAACATATAAAACCAAAATTTAAATGTAATTCAATTTTAAGTGGAAAATAATGATAGCTATTGAGATGCCCAAAGACAACTTTTTACTCATCCCTCATCAACACTGTATTAAACAGGAAAAAGGTTCACTACAAGTATTTTGAATATATTATATATTAATGGTCAATCGGAAGATATATTGAAGCTTTTTAGAAAAAAATTGCATGAGTTTATCTTCAGATGCTCAGCGAGTTTTCTGTCAAAATGATTTGTTCATTTTGAAGTACATTTCCTGTAAAAGCGATTAGTGAAATGTATTGCAACATTTTGATTCAGTATAGCTAATCTAGAAATTCTCTGCCTGAATTATTACCGTGATCGAAGCCTGAACTGTCACATCCAAAGTCTCCTCCTCTGCCCATGGGCTGGGCAGCTCTCCCAGGCTGTCTCCCATGATAGTCCCTGCCCTCAGACCAAGCAAAAAGTGCCCCAAGGGACTCTGTAGTGCCTCCTGAAAGATGTACTCTGTGAAGTTAGGACATCAATAGGGAGAAAAAACAAAGTAAAGCACCTAAAATACATCTCTACTGAAGAGCTATTCTTGTTAGCATTTTTAACCTACTTTTTTTCTGAATTAGTCAATACCCATGCATACAGATGGAGTATTTTGATATTGATAATAGTCCTACAGAAGATGGAAACAAGAATTGTATGCTTCACTCTGCTATTAGTATTGATTGCCTTCATATTATGTAGTGCAGCATTTATCTTCATTGATGAAATAATGTATCCACTTCCAATGCATGTGATGTGAGAATTTACATGGAATGGCTGCAAGAGCCAAAACACACCCCTTTGACATGCGCTCCAAAACTCTTGCTAAATTGTGTATCACAGCAGGTCAGCAATTTCTTGGCCATCATCTCTGCTCTGTGACAGTCACTCGGGTCACTCACCCAGTCCATCCCAGCTCCTCCATCCTGGGAAAGCATCACTCACATTCAGGGAGCAGGAGTCTCATCCCCACTTTTTACTTGACAGCTTTTCTTGGTGATTTGTCCCAGTTCTACTTGGAGCAGACCCACTTCTAAAGTAAAAAATCAAACAAACAAAACACAAACCAGAACAACTTACAAAAAACGATAACCCCCTTAATCATACTTGAAAATATATTTTTAGCTTTGTGATGCAGAGGTGTTTGGTATCTATTTCTTTGTGATCATTTACATACTTTCTTTATAGGCTCCAGCCATGGCCTTTCATCTGTGCCATCTTGGTCCCTGGCTCACCCCTTCGTTGATCTGAAGCAGTTATGTGCTCAGTGGCTAAAGTGACACCTTGAAATGCAGAGAAAGGAGAGGTAAATGTATTATTTAGCTGTAGGAGCAGCTATTTTTAAGGAGCATAACATGTAAAACCTTAATAAAGAAAAGATATTTCAAAAGTATCTTTACTTGGTTTGCTTATTTGGTACAACTCCCTGGTTTCTTTAGTGGTGTCGCATTCCTTTGAGTTTTGGGATGGTGAAGTGGTCTCGTGAGCGGGAGTCACCGTTTCTTTCCTCAGTCCTGTATTATGTATGATGCAGGAGAAAGCCTTTTTCATTTCATATGGGGGCCACACCCACTGCCTGGCTCCAAGCCTTCCTGAAAAGCAGCATTTGTGAGATGTTAAGGCACTACACTTAAAGTATAGACCATTCAAGTGGATATTTCAAGCGGGCTGAATGTGATAGAAGGACGTAGAAATCATTCTCAAGGCTCCATGTCCTGAGCTTCTTCCTTAACAGCCGCTGAAAGCTTAAGCGGTGAAGAATAAAATGACCAAGAAGTGAAGCATCAGAAAAAAAAAAAAAACAAGCCAGTGTAGGGTTTTTATATATGTATATACATACATACATATATATATATATATTTTGTTAAGAGAAAAGGGCTGCATCTCATACTCCACATGATGACGGCAGTCACCGGGGCTGCAGGCTGCCTGTAAAGGAGAAGCTGAAGATTCTGTGAGCAGACCCCCACTTACAGCACTGCTGTCATGACACTGTGCACACCTCTGCACCCTTTCTAATGGCGTGCACTGCGTTACCCAGCCTGTTTCTCACCACTTGAGAGGTGATTCAAGCCCTCATCAGCACTGCCCTTGCCATGCATGCCTTCTCCATCAACAGGTGCTGCTGCAGGGCTGCCCAACAGCATGACAAGGAAAGGCAGCAGGAGGACATGGCAGGATTGAAAACAAGTTGTAACGAAAGCCACATGTTGCAAGTAGAAGAAAACAGCTCAAAGAGAAATGAACTCTCAGGGAAACAAGGAAAATAGTTAATAATTTTTTACCCAGGTACATGGGGGAAAACAGGCACCACTTCTCAGACTGTTCTGCAGAACTTGAAATTCAGATCCTAACTTGTAACCAGGGGCCCTGCGAATCTTACCCAGGCTTCTTGTGTGATCTCCTTTTCCTCCATTCCTGATGGGCCATCAAAGCTCCCTCTCCAAACAACAAAGCAATCCGCATGCATGCAATCAAAAGAGCCAGCAGAACCACTAGAATATTACAAGGGCCGCTGCAGGCAGGGGTGTGGAAAACTGCTCCTCCTGCTAACAGGACCTGGGAATGTCTAAGGTGTCCACTACACAAGCACCTTCACACTGTGTTTGGCTTGGCTGGTTAGAGCACAAGCAGCTAATACGCAACAGGACTGTCAAGTAAGAAATTACTTGTGTTTCTGATTTAAAGAACTTAAAGAAAGGTAAAGGATTGATGATTAAAATTTACAAGCATAAAATTGAAGGAGGCAGCTTCCAAAGCCTGAAACCAGCCTGAAAAGTGCACAACACGGATTCTGTACAGCATTCACTTTTCTCCAAAGCTTTGCCCCTCTTGTGCATTATACTGAAGCCAAGTTCTGTGCCTGAGATGCAAAACAGGGTGGGAAATGCCCAAGTGAAGCCCATTAGTAAATTAATATTTGGTTTCCTAAGTGATTCACAAGCTTTCCACAAGTAGGTAAAAGGGACTCAGTAATTAAACTGACTGCTAATACCCACATAAATAAAGAGCCTGTTCTGTCCTGAGCAAACATGCTCGCCTCGTTAAAGCATTGACACTGTTAGCCAAGAGGCTAAAGGAAAGAGCAGAATCCCACCTGGCTCATTCATTTTCAGCTCAGTCACTAATTAGTCACCACAGTCTCTCAAGTCCATCTATTAATGGGGAAAAGGCAGAAGCACACATTAGAGAACAGGCCAATAAAAAACCTTTAACAAGTTTGATTAATGTATATTTATAATGATTTAAATGGGGCCCTCTCATCAGTCTCCCCCTGTAAAAGGAGAGAGAACATAGTCTGAGGGCTCTTTTTGCTCATCACAGCTTATTATGTTAATCTAAACACTGCCCATCATCACTCAGTGTCCACAGCATTGCACAGCACTGTCCCCACACACTGCTGTGAGCACCAGGACACACTGCGACAGCGAGTGCGAAGGCGACTTACTGGTTTAGTGATGCTCATGATGCAAGTCATATCATCACTTAGACATGTTTTTTTCCTTACCTGCAAACATGATGGACTTTTGGTGGACTCAGTACATGTTACATCAAGCTAGAGTGAGTGATGCTCCATGTTAAACATCATTCCCAGTGCCATCTGTGGTTATGGAGACTTATAGCGAGGCATAGCCAGGAGTTCCCAGAACCAGCTGTGATTAACAGCCCCAGCTTCAGCAGATAGCACAGGAGCTCTGTGCACTCATTGCTGCCAGGGGACGGGCTTAAACTTGCACTCTTAATTGCTGCTTAGGTTTATTGCATTTCAGCCACTTCTTTCCAGGGACACATCCATACAGCCCCTGCCCTCCGTACTAAAAACAACACTACAGATTGATCATAGTCATGCTGAGCTTCTTGTTCCTGGTGACATGGTCCTTTGGGGAAGATTTATCGTATCACAACTGCTGAAAATTGAGTGGTACTTACCCTGACCTGCCATTCAGAATTTAGGCACCTGAAGAACTGTGAGTGAAGAATCACAACTCCGCAAAAGAACCTACTTTACTGAAGATGGATTATGCTTCTCAAGTTCCCTTTACCTCCCATTTTTTCATGGGGCAGGTGAAGACACAACCTCTCACAAACCATGCAGAGCAAGAGCTGCTGCTGTTCAGGACCCCTGGATCCAAATCATTACCATAACCAGTCTATTCCCAGAGGCCAGGTCACAACTGAAGGTGTAAATTGGACATTTTGAATGTATGTAAAACTATATATATATATAATATAATATATATATTTATCCACACCAAAACCAACAGCAATGTCAAAATCTGCACTAGTTGAAGTAGTCACTTCAGTCTTTACAGGAACCAGTCCTTATTTTCTTTCCAAATTAGAAATACAGGGAATTAGTTAATACATAGAAAATGTTTCTGTAGATATATTTGATGTAAGTTCTTCAGTTATGGTAATAGATGCCCCCAGTGCTGCAGCAGAGCTGCACTGCATATGAATGTGTCAGTTTTGGTTTTGGGTGTTGACAATTTGAAACATGAACAATTTAGGAATGTGAAAATAGAAAAGTTGTGTTGATCTGTAACTAAAAAAAAACCAAGCATTTAATTAAAAACTCAGAGGGTAAACATGACTGAATTCCGATATAGAAAAAAAAATAAAAATAAAAATTTAGAGAAACACTTTCAAAGTTAAAAGTGTTGTTTCTGTAGAACTTCATTATAATATAGCAGGTACAACACAACATTAAGCACCAGATGCAGTTGCACTCACATCATGATGTCTATTACAAACTGCAGCTGTTTAATATTCACAGTTCTGAAACTGGGAGCATCTATTTCAAAATAAGCATTATCCTAAGAAGTATTTCCAAGGATTGGAGTGATAATAGTATCATTTTGATAATAGTATCATTTTAAGCAATACCCTTCAGCTCATATCATTAATTTTTCAGAAAAAAAAAGCATGTAATATTTTCTTGCTAATATGAAACCCTTTTGACATATTTACAAATCAAACCCATAAAACTGCACAAAGATTTGGGCCACAAGGTAGAGGCTAAGCATTTTCACAGACTTTATTTTGTTCTGCAAATAATCTCCTGGCTGTGTGCTCAGAATATCCGCTTTCTGGTGCAGAGCTCAGCATCACAGTGCTTCCAGCCAGATGCTAACTTAGGCTTTACTTTATTCCAAGAAAGATTAAAGGCTTCTGCAATGTGCGAGCCATCAGCTTGAAATATTGTCATTGACTATATTTTTTATATTCCTTCTCCAGCCCAGAAAAGAGAACAGAGGGGAATGGACTATAATAACAACTGTGACAGGCTCGCATGGTTAACAGGGAATAGTCCTTCATCTTTGCCAGCACCAGAGACAGACCCCATTCCAGCTCAGAGGTACCACGCCGAAGTTCACATGCTGTGCAGCTGCACCACAGGTCTCCTCACTGCTGTGGGGTGGATTTCTGGAAGTTCATACTACTGAAATAAAATGAATTAATGGCTGTTGAAGCCTGTGGTCACAGTACCACAGAAGGTTGTAACCTGGAGAGAAAACACCATGTGCCTCCTTTGGCTCTTACACATCTGTAGGCATTGGGTTAGGCATTGTAGGCATTGTACTGAGGATCTGGGCTGGGCAGATGTTCACTCTGGTCACCAATGTTTGTATATAAGCCTTTCTGGAAAATAAAATATATTTAGGAAGTCTGACAGGCAAAACACTTTTCCCTGTCTGTATACAATTATGAAGGTGTGATGGATTCTTTCCTTCATTCAGTTTCTGGAGCACAGACCTCAGTGACACCCAGGACCACACCAAGCAACAGGGCTGGCAGGCAAAGAACACATCCTCCTTCGCAAAAACATTAACAATTTGCTGTTCTCCCCATGCCCCCCGCAACACATAGGATGAAAATGAGACTTTCAAAGGAGCATGGAGTAAAAAGTCAACCCCAAACAGACCAGAAAAGAAAGCAGCAATACTCCCAAACCAGGTGTTGCTCTGGTTTACGGATACTCCCTGGCTGGAACCACTGCTCTTTACATCAGGCAGACCTGAACTCATGTGAGAAAGTCAGAGATCTGGGCTATTCAGCTTCATGTAGTGATAGGACAAGGGATAACAGGTTCAAACTAAAACAGGAAGATATAAGGAAGGAGCTCTTTACTGCGAGGGTGGTGAGACACTGGAACAGGTTACCCAAAGAAGCTGTGAATGCTTCATCCCTGGCAGTGTTCAAGGCCAGTCTGGACAGAGCCTTGTGCAACATGGTCTAGGGTGAGGCATCCCTGCCCATGGCAGGAAGGTTGGAGCTAGATGACCTTGAGGTCCTTGCCAACCCAAACCATTCTATGAATCTATGTGAAACAAAAATTCCCATAGAATCCAGATCTGGAGAGTTCATTGTGAATCAGGACTCTTC